TGAAACTAGAAATCAATTACAAGAAGAAAACTAGAAGAATTCACAAATATGTAGAAACTAAACAACATGCTACTGAGCAATAATGGGTCAAAGAAGAAACCAAAAGATAAATATAAATATACCTTGAGACAAATGAAGTGGAAATAAAACATACCAAAATTTATGGGATGCAACACAAGCTGTTCTAGGAGGGAAGTTCATAGCGATTAATGCCTACCTCAGGAAACAAGAAAAATCTCAAAAACAACCTACTTTATACCTCAAGGAACTAGATAAAGAACAAATGAAGCCCAAAGTTAGCAGAAAGAAGAAAATAACAAAGATCATAGCAGATATAAATGGAATGGAGACTAAAAAGATAACAGAAAAGATCAATGAAACTAAGAGCTGGTTCCTAGAGAAGATACAAAATTGACAGGCCTTTAGCTAGACTCACCAAGAAAAAAAATGACTCAAATAAAATCAGAAATGAAAGAAGACATGTTACAACTGATGCCACAGAAACACAAAGGATCAAAAGAGATTATTATGCACAATTACATGCCAACAAATTGGACAGTCTAGAAGAAATGGATAAATTCCCAGAAACATATAACCTACCAAGGCTGAATCATGAAAAAACAGAAAATCTGAACAGATGTATTACTAGTAAGGAAATTGGACTGGTAATCAAAAACCATCCAACCAATAAAAATACAGGACCAGATGACTTCACTGGTGAATTAAACATTTAAAGAAGAAATCAATACCAATCCTTCTCAAACTCTTCCAAAAAATAGAAGAGAAGGGAACATACCCAGACTCACTTTGCGAGGCCAGCATTATTACTCTGACACAAATTGATACCAAAAGAAAACTAGAGGCCAATGCCCTTGATGATTATAAATATAAAAATCCTCAACAAAATATCAGCAAACTGAATTCAACAATTTACTGTATTTCAACAATACAGTAAAAGGATCATGATCAAGTGGGATTTATCCCAGAGATGCAAGGATGGCTCACCATCTGAAAATCACCATGATATGCACCCTATTAATAAAATGAAGGATAAAAATCATATGATTATCTCAGCAGGTGCAGAAGAAAAAAACTTGACAAAATTCAACATCCATTTAGGACAAAAACTCAACAAAGTGGGTACAGAGGGAATGTATCTCAACAAAATAAAACCCATACATGACAAGCCCATGCTAACATCATATTCCATGGTGAAAAGCTGAAAACTTTTCCTCTAAGAATAGGAATAAGACAAGGATGTCTACTCTTGCCACTTTTATACAATTTATTATTAGAAGTCCTAGCCAGAGGAGTTTGGCACAAAAAAGAAAAGGCATCCAAATTGGAAAAGAAGAAGTAAAACTACCACTATTTTCAGATGAAATGTTAAAAATAATAAGAAACCCCTGAAGTTTAGTTAGTTAATAGCCATCAGTTCAAATGGCTATTAGAACTAATAAATGAATCAGTGAACTTGCAGGATTCAAAATCAATACGCAAAAATCTGTCGCATCTCTATACAGTAACAATGAACTATTAGAAAAATTAAGAAAAACAGTCCCATTTGCAATGATATCAAAAAGAATAAAATACCTAGGAATAAATTTAACCAAGTAGGTGCAAAATCTGTACACTGAAAACTAAGACATTGATGAAAGAAATTGAAGAGACAAATTAATGGAAAGATATTCCATGCTCATGGTTTGGAAGAAGTAATATTGTTAAAATATCCATACTACACAAAGCAATATATAGATTTCATGCAATCCCTATCAAAATTCCAATGGCATTTTCCACAGAAATAGAACCACCCTAAAATTTGTATGGAACCACAAAAGACCCTGAATAGTGAAGAACATCTTGAGAAAGAAGAACGAATCTCTCTGATTTCAAGCTATATTACAAAGATATTGTAGTCAAAACTATATGGTGTTGGCATAAAAACAGACACATTGGTCAATGGTACAGAATAGAGTGCCCAGAAATAACTCCCCACACATAAGGTCAATTGATTGACACCAAAGAACAGTCTCTTCAATAAACAATGTTGGGAACACTGGTCAGCCACATGCAAAAGAATGAAACTAGATCACTATCTTACACCACCCAAAAAATTAGCTCAAAATGGATTAAAACAACTTGAATGTAAGATGTGAAACCATAACCTGACATCAGTCTTGGTAGTGGTTTTTTGGATTTATACCAAAAGCAAAGAGAATACAGGCAAAAATAAATAAGTGTAGTCAAACTAAAAGTTCTGCACAGTAAAGGAAATCAACAAAATGAAAGTCAACCTGCTGAACTGGAGAAAATATTTTCAATTCATCTATATTGATAAAAAGTTAATATCCAAAATATATAAAGAACTCATATAGCTCAAGAGCAAAGCAAAAACAGTTGATTAAAAAATTGGCAGAGGATCTGAATAGACACGCTTCCAAAGAAGACATGTAGCTGGCCAACAGGTACATGAAAAAGTGCTCAACACCACGAAGGGAAATGCAAATCAAAACCACAATGAGATATCGCCTCACATCGGTTAGAATGGCTATGTGATGCCTAGAAAAGGAACCCTTGCGCCTTGTTGGTGGGGATGTAAATCTGTGCAGCCACTATGGGAAACAGTATGGAGGTTCCTCAAAAATTTAAAAATAGAGTTACCATATGACCCTGCAATTCCACTTCTGGATATTAATCTGAAGAAAATGAAAAGACTAACTTAAAAAGATATATGTACCCCCCATGCTCACTGCAGCATTATTTATAAGAGCCAGGAGATAGAAACAATGTCAGTGCCCACTGATGGATGTAAGGATAAAGAAAATGCGGTATATGGAATATTATTCAGCCAGAAAAAATAATGAAATCTTGCCAGTTGCAATAACAATGATGGATCTTGAGGGCATTATGTTATGCAAAGTCAGAAAAAGACAAATATTTTATGATCTCATTACATGTGGAATCTAAAAAAAATAATAATTGAGCCCATAGATACAGAGAATAGGTTGATGGTTGCCACTGGCAGAGGGTGAAGGGTGGGCAAAATGGGTTAAGGGAGTCAAAAGGCACAGACTTCCAGTGATGAAATAAGTAAGTCATGGGGATGTAATGTATGGCATGGCGACTAAAGTAATACTGCAGTGCATATTTGAAAGTTGCTAAGTCTTAAAAGTTCTCATCATAAGAAAAAAATTACAACTATGTATGATGACAGATGTTAAGTAGACTTATTGTGGTAACCATTTCACAATATATGCAGATGTTGAATCATTATGTTGCACACCCGAAGCGAATACAATGTTGTATGTCAACTATACATCAATTAAAAAAAAATAGCATGCAACTGAGTCTGATCATTTCATGGGGCAGACCCACGAAAATAGCATGGATTTTTAATTGAGAGAATAAATGACTGCTATCTTGGGTCTCTCACACACAGCTAAGCTTAAATCCAACTCACCCAACTGCCCTACATACCCACAAGAATGCAGGGTTTACTTCGTCTAAAGGCCTAGCAAGAACAGTTGACCACTGGTGTTTGGGAGACTAAAAAGTTATTACATATTCTAGTGTGAGCCATACAAATCAAATTAATTCCAGAGGGATTTCAAATTCATTACAGTTTTCTGTCATTTTTCCCTATCAACCTGCAATGCCCAGCATAACTAACATGTAATGATATCTTTAAAATGTTTTCACGTTAAACAGCAACTTAATGTAAAACTCAAATCTGAGCTTCCTAGTTGCCTGGGCAAAGAAAGAAAGTATACAGGGTACACAGCCCTTGTTATTTAATGACCACGAGTAAGTAGTCGTGTTCACCAGAGTAAACAGACATTTTCAGGGTCCTGAGTTCTAAAAGTCCGGTTAGAATGAGATTTCCTGGATGGAGGGGCATTCTAAATATAATAAATAACACCCAACAGGATTATGGACATTGGATCAATGCCTTCTGAGTTCTAGTAAGAGGACCCACTTTCTGGCTGATTCTGGCAGAATGAGTCTGCAGGAAGACACCTCACCAGCTTGCTGCCCATCCCAGTGTGCCCTCGCCAGCCCCACCGTGTATCTAAAGGGAAGCTCCCCAGCCTGGAGGGCTGCCTAAGTGCTGCGAAAACTGAGCAGAGGGAGGCGTTAATCCTCATGCTACTCCCACCCAAACAAGCCCCTTGTCACTTAGATGCAACTTCCCAGGGCTGCAACATCCCAGCTCCAGTATCTAACTTCATTATTGCCTCAGCTCCTTACCCAAGGTGGGGGTGGGAGGGCGGTGGCATTTACTTTTAAATTTAAGGTAAACTAATTGAGTTTGGGGATTTTATAATGGTGCTAGAGGTAAGTGACTGGTTGTAACTGTGCCTCTGTCTCAGGCAACCAGCCTGGCAGGCGGTTGGAGCCCACCAAAGTCCTCCCGCAACAGAAACATTCAGGAAGCGCTACTTGCTTTCCACCCAGCACACAAAACTGACGCGGACCGAAGCAGAGCGGTGCATGCCGGGTAGCAGTCAAGTGTAGAGGAGCCGAGCACCGCAACCTCTGGGCCATTCTGTAGAGTGGCCACACAATCCCCACACATGCTCCTTTCCATTTTCCACACACTCCACTCTAAACGTTCTTCTGGAACCTTCTTCCATGTTGATGGTCTGAAGTAGTCAGTTCCCAACAGCTTTGATGACATAATTCACAGAGATGTAATATACAGGCACGGCTCCTCCCGGCCTCTGTACTAGATTTCATATTTCAAACGGACTCAGTTTTTTTACAAACTCAAATTCCTTTGCAAAGGTCACTTTCTATCACTACTATTGGCAAATTGTTCTGTATTTTTTGAATGCACATAGAAACAAATGCACTTTTAAATAGAAATAAAGTTGTCCATGTGTACTACCCAGAGTCACCCAGGGCATCCCTGAAATGCAGGTGAGGCAGTGGTCTGGGGCCAAGACACTGGGCACCACGTCCGGAGGCTCCCTGCGGGCCCACCACCTGGCGCTCCTCACCTGTCCGGTAGCCTGTGCTGTTGAGGTACACGGCAAAGGTGCGGCTCTCATGCTGGGCCTGCCAGGAGGGCGAGGAGCAGTTCTCGTTGTTGGTGTAGGTGTTGTGGTTGTGCACGTACTTCCCGGTGAGGATGGAGGAGCGGGAGGGGCAGCACATGGGCGTGGTCACGAAGGCGTTGATGAAGTGCGCCCCGCCCTGCTCCATGATGCGCCGGGTCTTGTTCATCACCTGCATGGAACCTGCAAGCAGGAGCAGAGGTGAGGCGTGGGCGGGTGGAATCCTAACTACCGTGCCCCAGGAGACTATGAAACCATCAGTGGCAGCCGCTGAGGGGCTCTCACAGGTGGCGCCCCCATCCTCGGGGGGAGAGGGTGCATTTTGGAAATCTCTGGGACACATGGGTGACACAACTGGTATTTGTGGGCAGGGACCAGCTAGGCACTGTGGGATGGACCTGCGCATTGAGGAAGTAGCCTAGGTCCCCAGACTCACTGGATATTCATGGTGTGGGGGTGGGGGTGGGGGGCAGGCAGGTAAAAAGCTCTTCATAAGTTATTTAAGCCTAGAATGGAACTTTGTTATACAAACAGAACATCATTTTTGCAGGGTATTAATGCACAGTGATTTTTTTTTAAGCAACCATTAGGTAAACTGAGGGAATATTACATTTTTGTTTGGAACTTCCCCAAGAATTGTTCACTCTTATTGAAATCTGGTCTTGCCAACCCCTGACCCTGTCTCCCTGAATATTTCCCAGCTGAAACGCTCTGCATCAACCCTGAACCATGCATGCCACCTCTGTCCATGTAGTCCTTCTAGCTTGGAACCCACTTCCCACCTCCCCAAATCCCACCTACCAGTCAAGCCACACCTCCTCCAGTGAGCCCTCTGGGGTCACTCTGGCTTTCCATTCCTTACCACGTGGGTAGCATGTGTTATTAGGACTTAATTACATACCACCAGGTATCACGGTTTCATTCCTGCCTATTCTTGTTTCTCAAGGAAGCTGCGGGCAGAGGAGGGCACTCAGGAAGGGAAAGAAATGAGCACGGGTGGAATCTCCACCGTGTGCAGGGGCTCCGCCCAGGGTCCCACCGGCAACAACTGTGTGCCCTGCTCAGGGCTGAATCCTCAGGGCTCTCACGGTGTGAGACACACAGGAAATACTCAGCAAGTGCATGCAGTGGGTGTGTAATTGTACAGTGTGGCTGGTATCCAAGCACTTCATAGTTTAGTGGAAATATTCCATGGACCTCTTCTCTCTTCCTTTTATGGCCATCCTCAGCTGCTTTCCTTCTTGCAGTTCTTAGGGTCTGTAGTGGGGTGAATGATATCCCCCCAACTACCAAAAAAAAAATGATGTCCGTGATCTAAACCCCCGGAACCTGTGAATAAGATCTGATTTGGAAAATCAGTCTTTGAAGATGTAGTTAAGAATCTTGAGGTGGGCCTAAATCCAACGACAAGGGTCTTATAAGAGACGGAAGGGAGAAGACCCACAGACACTGAGGAGAAGACCGTGTGAAGGTGGAGCCGGAGATGGGAGGGGCCGCCAGGAGCTGGAAGAGCCAGGAAGGGTCCTCCTCAGGTCCTCTGGAGGGGGCACAGCCCTGCCAGCACCTTCATCTTGGACTTGTGGCCTCCAGAATTACGAGAGAGGAAATACCCATTGTTTTAAGTCACCCAGTTTGTGGCAGTTTGTTAGGACAGTAATAGGGATACAGGGTCTACCATGCAGTTAAGGTTCTTGCTGGAGCACAGCCGATCTCAACCACAGGCCCCTCAGAGATGTGAAATCGACTCACCAGACTCACCCCGGCACTCTGTCCCTGGAGGCTAAGAATGAAAAGGAGATTTATATGCTCTTGTATCCCACCCTTCTGCCAAATAGGGAAGGAAACAGAGCTAGAGTTTCCTGAGGCAAATATAGATTATATCTCTTCACTGTTTAAAACCATCCAACAGCTTCCCATTGCATGCGGAAGAAAACCCCAATTCCTTGCTGTGGCCTGACTCATCCAGACCTGTCCCCCCGCCAGGCCACCTCCCGTTTCTTTGATCTCATCTCTTCCCTTCCTCTTGTTCACACCTGGCCTCCTTCTTGTTTCCCAAATGCCCCAATCTCATCCCTGTCCCAGGACCTTTGCACTTGCTACAGCCTCTGATAAGAACTCTGAGACTTCCCTTTGCTGGCTTGTCCCATATTCGTATGTCAACCTAGAGGTCATTTTCTCAGCAAGACCTGGCTGACTCCCTGTCTGAAGGAGCCCCACTCAGCATTTGTCTCCTTCAGAAATGGTCTCCGTTACTGGTTGCTTATGCTGTTCCTCCCTTTCTGGACTGAGAGTTCTGGGTGATCCTGGGCACTGCCTACCACCTACTCCCAGGAATGTATAACTGGGGCTCTGTGAAAACTCCTGGATGGCTGAAGGAAACAGAGCGAAGCCTGCTCTTTTGAGCCCAGCACTGGGGGACACCCTCCTGGAATCAGGTGTGTTTCCTGAGCCTCTTGGCCAAGGCTGCCCACAGTGGGCGGAGGAAAGAACTGGCTTCATCTTATGAACTGAGCAGGCATCATGAGGCTCTGCAGCTGCATGAATATCTGTCATGAAGGCCACACACCCTCCTGAGGAGTCCCCCGGGGTTCCAGCCATAACCACTGGGCAATTACAAGGTTCCCACCAAGTGTGAAGTCCCCTTCTGGAGGGGATGGAGAGGGTGGGCTTTTCGAGGCCTCCCTCTACCAGCTGGTGCTAATTCTCCAGAGCCTGCAAAGTGAGTGTGGCACAGTCTCAGGGTCCAGCAGGGCCTCACTACCCTCAGGCTGCTCCTGGGGTCAGTCCTCAGGATCCCACGCAGGCCTTCTGCTCACGAATCCATTCTTTCCACCTTGAATTTGCACCACAAATTGAGATATCTAGGTCATGCCCTTGAGGCCTCAAGCTTGAACACTGGCCACTTCCCACTTCACAACCTCAGCCCTAACCATGCCCTCTGCTTGGGGAGCTCCCTCCTGCCTCCTTCAGGTTCCTGATCAAATGTCCAATAATTCAGAGAGGCCTTTCCTGGCCCCGCACTGAAACTGCCACCCCTGCTCCTGCACTCCCCATGCCGCTGCCCTGCTTCGTTACTGCCCTTGGACACCAGAGTCACGGCTAGTTCACTTACTGATGAGCTGCCTGCTGCTCCTGCTGGAAGAGCCAGACAGGGGCAGGGATTTAGGCCTGCCTGGTTCACTCTTTAGCTCCAAGCCTAGAACAGTGCCCAGCACATAGTGGGTGCTCAATGAATATCTGCTTAATTAACAAATTACCTTACTCTTGGGGTTTCTGTATAACTCAAGAGCCAAAGCTGGTTTGCATCCATAGGCATGTGTATGTTTTGTGTACTGGATTTTTAAAAATTGGACTTTAAATAGCATTAAGCAGATTATGTGTTCTTTAGTTTGCCACACTCCCCAGCACTCCCTATAGTATTACACCAATGATACCCATTTATGTTACTTGCCTGGTCTCTGAAGGCTTCAGTTTGGCAACCTAATATATAACTTAGTTGATGAGACAGCTCCAACTTATCCCGGGGGTAGGAGGCAGTGTCATATGTCAGGACTCACTGCAGTTATTAATAGTGGTGACTATCATCGGCTGAATGGTTGCTGTGTACACTTCTGGGCATACATCATTCATCATTTTACTTAATCCTCCCAACAGCCTTTTGGAGGTCAGGGAGTTCAGTGACTGGTCAAGGCCACACAGCTCAGGGAGTGGGATGTGAGGACTCAAACCCGGGCTTCTTGATAAGAATGGTGGGTGCTGGGTATTCTGTTCAGGCTACACCATGCAGAAGGTGGTGATAATGGATCTAGGAAGTACACAGAGATCCCTATGCACTTGCCCAACTCTAGGCTTCAGTGAGGCTTGGAACAGTCCTGGACTGTATGTTGGTTCTCCTAGGAGTTCACCCAGAGGTGACTCCTCAGTAGCAGGGAGCAGCAGAATTCCATCACCTAATACCAGGGACGCTGGTGGTGGGAAAGCAGTTACCATGCGTACGGAAACCTCCAGGGCAGAGCCCCTGGTTGGTGCTGTCTTGTCCTTAACACCTACACACCTACTTCAGCAGGGAGGGAACTGCCCAGCTGCTCAGCGCTCTAGGCAGGTGGAGGTACAGGCTTGTCCTTGATCCTACAGTTTCGTTTCCCTTACTTAGGGAGAGTGATCGTAGCTTCTCTCCTCCAGGAGAGTAGACTCCTGTTGTTTCAACATACAAAACAATTACAGCTGATTAAAGAGAACTAAACAGTAGTACCAGGGGCACGGAGGGGTGGTGAAATCACGGAAAGGTGAGGGGGGGCTGGCATTTGGCACACACTGCCTCAGTACAGGGCAGCGCTGTCTACCCGGGGATGTTACTTGGCTAACAGACACCTCAACACCCAGAGTACCACTGCACCCCCACCCCAGACTGAGCTCCTGATGCCACCCCGCCCCTCATGGCTCCTCCAGCAGCACCTCTCCTCCCCTCCGGTTATTCAGGCAATAATCTTGCTACTCTTTGGTCCTGTCTCTCCATTCCCACATCCAATCCATCAGCAAAGCCTTTTGTTCTTTCTCCAAAGTGCATCTCCAATCGGAACCCTGCTGCCTCCTCCTGGGCAGGTCATCCTCTGTCCTCTGAGTTAGCTCAGTAGCTCCCCAACTGGGCTCTGGCAGTTTATCCCCCATGGAGCGGCTCGAGTTACTCCTCTCCTAGCATCCTCCATGGCTCCCATTCACTTGGAGAATCAAGTCCTTATGGTGCACAGCCCCGCAGGCTCCAATCCCTCCACTCCCACCCACCCTCTGCAGCCACAGGGCCTCGGGCCTTGTCCTTAGACTTGCCTGACTCATTCCCACCTCACAGCCTAGCGCATGCTGCTCCTCCAACCCCCTCACTGATGGCCTGCACCCCCACCCCATTATCTCATACCTCTTCTTTGTTTTGTTTCCAACTCTATGTGTCATCTCTAAGGCACTATGTACTCGTACATATTTACATATCTGCCTTGCTTGCTGCCCCCCGGAGGCCCAGAGCAGTGCCTGGCCCTTAGTAGGTGCTCAGCAATTATTTCTCAAAGGAATGAATCCAGGAATCCAGGGTGCTCCAGGCAGATCAGCCCTCTGCCCGCTCTTCACAAGCTATGAGGAGAGTGGACAAAGCAGCTGGGAATGAGAACTCGGCCTCTTGGTCTCCGGAAACT